CATTGATAGGTTGGGATTTTATCATCCTGGAATTAGTATACACTCAGAATTAGTGATGGAAGTAAGGTTCAGTTTCTCTCAGTTTCAGACCTGATATATATGGGTATAGACCCAGGTCCAGTAATCAAGGTTTAGAATTGGAATTTATATTTGCCAATAGGACCTTGTAACCAGTTGGAGAAAATAGGATCTTTCTATTTTTATTGTATCATACACATAGTATATATTATTTTCCTATTTTCTTGTTATATTTTTACCCTTTTACTCTATTTTATATTGGTTATATTGATTCTGATGAACATTTAAAGTAGTCCATAGGTTACAGAATATTAAGATAAGATTGTGATTTAATGAGAGTAAGACTGTACACACTGAAGAAACCCATGAAGCTGGATGCAGTTAACTAGAGGTTATGAACCTTCTTTTTTGATAAAGGGTGATTTTATTTTTGTTTAAGAAGTCTATTTGTATTGTTGGGTAGATACATATCAGTATTGCTGCTATTTAGAATTTTAATATGAAAAAAGGGTATGATTAAATCTGAGTGGTAGTGCAGACTGCCATTTCAGGTTGCCCCCAAATCTTTTGAATATACCCTCCATGTTTGCTAGGTCTCCACATTCTGAATGCCATCTTCCCACAGTAGGATTCAAGGAACACTTTTCAGGCATGTTTACCACCAGGTGGCAGACATGTGACTTAAGAGCCGGCCAACCAGAGCTCCCTGCACAGGACAGATTCTGAGGGGATCCAGATGAGGAAACATTCTGGGCATGGGGCATCGATTTTGCTGGCACAGGTATTAGCAGACGCTGCATGTTTCTGGGACTTGGGGTGTAAAGTAAACTTACAAAGCTAAGAAACATGGTCCTAGAAATTGTGCCTGAAAGTTCAGTTTAGAGATTTCTTATATGCTTTAATTAATGCCTTCTTGATTAAAATAGCAAACTGTGTTGTTTTGTGCAATTAGGAACTCTCATCCATATAACAATAAAACCAATTGTGTTTTTATTCATATAAAACAGACTCCTTAAGGGCTTAAAAATTTATTCTGAATACTTCTCGATGCCTAGGAAAATATTCTATATAATATATGCTTAGTACTTGTTGAATTGAACTAATAATGAATGTACATTATGTATATTGGAGAATGTGGCCAAAAATGTCCTAATCTAGCATGTTTCTATAGCTTTAAACTTCAAGTGAAAATAAAAATAAAAAGGAACTTACCTAAGACGCCACTAACAGTCTACTACTTTGTACACCTTCGCTGGGAGCCAAACTTTAATCGAATGTTTCATAAATCTTGCAGAAGGCACTCTCTTTGGTACACTCAAAGGACTGCAGGGACCATGTGAGTGGCCATTCATCTATGTTGGAATTCACTTTAAATGACCACAGCCTATATATGTATACACACAAACATATAATATTGTATATGCATATACACATACTGCCTCACTGGGAATTTTTAAGCTAAATTTCTAAAACTATAAATCTTTCCATTAGATATGAATTCAACATAACCTTGTGTGCAATTATTTTCAATCACATACGGCTTTCAAGTAGAAATGCATTCTGCCCTGTAAATTAATTTGGCCTCTGTAATATGGTCACATAACACAATACTAACATCTGAAAATGAAAACCTTCAAATTGATTGCTTTCATGATCAGTCCACTCAGCATCCTTTACTCTCAAGTATGGTTTAGATAACCTATGTGTCTTCTTATGTATGTGTTTGAGTCCCACATTGAAATAGCTGTTGGGAGGGTATATGTCCTATCTTATTCACTCTTGTATCAGTCATATCTTGTTGTAGCACTTTCATAAATATATATACATGAATCCATACATGCACGCACATATCTTCACCTGCTTTCAACTACTAGGGTCTTCCTTTCTCAACTGGATTGTATGTTCTACTCATCAAGGAAATAAGTTTGGAGGGAATTTGTTAACTTGTATAAACAGGTTTGTCAAGAACGGGAAGCTTTTCTTTATTAATGGCAGGTGTCTGATTGTATTTGAACATTTATTTAACGTAATTATTTTGGCTCAAAACAAAAAGGCATAGCAAGGAATGTTTCAAATTCAGTCTTTCATTTGAACTAAAGATAACTGTCTTTTTTTTAGTTTATAACCTATGAGATGAAATTACAGTGTAATGATTCATAACTGACATTAAGACTAACTCTTGAAACCCTAACTGCTCTTTCAAAGTCATACAATAGTTGCATTCTGAAACACTGTTAATAATATAAACCATCCTTTGAGATCTTCAGGCACAAAAACAGTTGAAACAACAAAACAACAATGAAACAACAACAAAACTTTTCTACTCTGATGTTAAGAAATAATTATATTAATATTTCTAGTTTTCCTTTACTTTTTAATTAATTCAGGTAATTCTGCCAAAACATAAGTTTTAGTAGTCAATTTGAGGATGTTGAAATAATGGCAGGAATGCTGTTTTCTGTAAGTATAACTTGCCTAGGAATGGTCAGAGAAGTTTTAGGAATAATAAAATTTGTTTCATCATTTTTTCTACATTTTTGGTAGTATGGAAACATTAAACAATAAAGCTTGGTTGAATGTTTCTGTAAATACCCACTACAATTTATGAAGTTTTTATTTTTGTATTTTCATGAATAACATTAGGATGATTTTATTTGAATGTTCTCAATCTAATAGGGCATTATGGAGGAAGAAAGAAGGTGGTCTGATTTTCAGCCCTGGGTATTTTTGGGGTGGTGGGGGAGGGTGAGAGGTGGTTATGTAACTTAAGAAGTTATTATATAATCAATATTTTGCACAAGGAAGGTTTCATAAATCTATTTTCCTTGACATAATGAACAACAAAAATCCTCCACATCATTGCTTTAGGAAAGGTAGAAAAATGTTTTCCAGCTTGATTCATGTTTTCAAAGTAGTTACGATTCACGTTTAAAAATCAATGGCTTCATTTTCTATTACCCTAATGGAACTTAATATTTGTACTTCTCTCACTTTGATTCCTGAATGGGTATTTCAAGTACAGCTTGCCTTGCTTTCTTTGTTACCCCAAATTCCTTTACAGATGCAATAACGACAGGTAGTTCCAAGCTTCATGGGGTGTAATGTGATGAAAACTGTGAGGATGCTGTTGCCAAACCTCCCAGTCTCTGGAATTAGTCACAATCAAGAAGGCATAACGCACTCCATACTACAGTGGTCTACTCTTAGGCAATGTTTCCCCTAAACTGTAGTAAATCTTTGAGTTTCTTCATGGATCTAACTTGAGTAATTGTGCTGATGGCCTCATGACTAAGGGCACAGGCTCTGGAGTTAGTTTGTCTTAGTTTTCAAATCCCTTCCCTGCTATTTACTAACTGTGTGATTTCTGGTAAGTGATCTGCCCTTTTCTGAGCTCAGCTGCCTCATCTGTAAAAAGGGGATAATTATAATATTTCCCTCATAGGGCTGTAGAAAGGATTAAAGGGCTGTATAAAGGAGAAATACATACATGGCTAATAAAAGAGTTTCTGTTGCATTTTAAATAAGATTAGTTGGAAGTCTACTGAGAAGTTTGCATTTCCCTCCATTTTTAGCTTCCTGTTCCTGCTTTTACATTTGGCTATATTGAGTTACACTAGGGAATGTTGCCTAAAGCATTAAAATAGAAAATAGTGGAATAGGGCAGAATAAATCTCATGGCAGAAATATATTTTAAATTTGTATGGAAAAAGTATAATTTAAAAATCAAGGGTGGGAAAAATATATAGAGGGAGAAAGAAACAGAAAAAAATAATCTGACACCTGATAACACGATCTAAATTGCTCTTGTTATGTCCTATAAGAGGCAGTCCATGTGATTGGCTCATCAAAGTCTCAATGAAAACCAATTCCTTACATACATACCCTGTGAATTCTCTTTACCATAAAGTAAGACCCTGAAAAATAAGAAACTGAGTTTGATCATATAACTATTATGCATGCAATGGTATCTCTCATTCCATGGGCACAAGCTCATTCCAGGGACACAAGCTGACTGTTTGTGGAGCTGCCATTTTTATATTACTCTCTAAGACCAAGCATGCAATGAATATACAGTTAACTGTAACTTGCCTTCTCAGCATGAATCTGCCATAGCTCTAACACTTAAAATATTTTCACCTACTTCACATTGAGATTGAACTATAATCACACGAAAGTGGTTTTTCTCTACATTCTTTTACTAGAGAAACTTCTCTTATTTATGGGTAATATGGCGATTTATATATTTTATGAAATTTAATGAATTTTTCTTCTGAAGTAGAAAATATAGCATCTTTGATGAAATTTTAAACTTTAATGTTACATGGCATGTTATGAGATTAAACAAATACATGGGTTTCCAAGAACAGAATATTGTAAATTCCATCAGGTTCATAAAATCACAATATCAGAACTGGAAGTCTCCTTAATGATCTTCTAATAGAAAAGGTATGCCTCTTTTAATTAGGAGAGTCCTGTTCCAGTGGTTTTATGTTTTTAACACCTTTTAAAAAATTGTTATTTTTCTGGGGTGAGGTGAGGATGAATGTTAGGTCATGCCCTCATAGCACCCCAAAGTCAAAACTCATGCTCCCCTCTCAAACCCATTGCCCTCCCCCATCACCCACCACCAGCTTCTGAAGTATCACTGCCCACCTATTCCAATGCAACAGTTTGAAACTCACTATTGAAATACAACCCTTCTTTTTAAAGTCGAATAAAGCAAAGACCAGAAGAAATACTAACATTTTTTAAGGCAACATAATGATTTAGTAGCCGAGACTGTAATTTAGGTTTCCTGTCTTCCTGTTTTGACTTTTGTAGTACAGTAAATTCTTCTTTAATTTAAGTAACAGACCATGAGTTGGCGTCTGCTTAAAGTCTTGCTCAAGTTTTTAAAGGCTTATATTTCTATGAGTATACTAGAGATAAGGCACTGAGCTATACATGGGATTAATTCCAAGCAGAGGCAGTTTTATACTTACTCTTGTATTGTTTCTTTCAGCTTTAAGTTCAGAAATTTCTTCTTCCTTTTCTAGAAGTTGTTCTCTGCAGGCATTTAATTCTTTTGTCAGTGCAGCAAATTCCTGAAAGAGGAATAAAAAATTTTGAAGACATATTCCAGATTAAAAAAATGTATTCCAGCAGGAAAAAAAAAATCAAAATATAAACTTTTGAGTGTAGAGAATAGAAAACATGGCCTAGATGACTATATATTGCTGTTATTTATATGTACATTGCTGTTATTAAATTAACTTGGTTCCAACTTTAAAAAAATGCTAGTACACGGTACTTAACAAATACATATTATAATATGCTGCTCAGATGAGTGTATAAAATATATTTCAAAATGTATCAGATACATCATATTGAATTTAACATTAGTATGATAGCGTATTGATAATATAGAATAATTTAAATTTGGCTAATTTTGTGAACAACTCCAAAGATCTCATACTCTCGTTCCAGATAGCAATGTTTAGACTGAGCATACTACATCATAAGAAAAAACCAACAACCACCACCAACAATCAAAAAAAAAAATTCTTAAATATACTATTTAGAGATTAAGAAGTTTACTTATTTAATAGGAGGAAGAAAGAGAATGCACTTGTATCTTACAAAATAATAAACGTACCTAAGAGTTGATAACATTATCTAAGATTCTCTTATTAATTTATGCATTTAGACACAGTAAAGTTTGCTTAAAAAGAAGGGTAAGACACTTAATTCAACTATTCCGTTACTCCAACTTACAAACAAATATTTTTAAATAATTTTGGAAAATAGTAAATAGTAAAAGATCCATATTAACATTAAATTCTTTACAGTGATTCTCAGTAATAAAATTGATGCTTGTCAAATCCATGTAAGTATTTGGGAAAATTTGGCACCAGGCTGGGAAAGCACTGTCAGAAGATCAAAACAAAAAGCAATATGAGGAGACAGGTTTGGTTAACCTAATCTCCACAAAGGCAAATTTAGCACAAAGTAAATGAATATGATGATTATGCAAAGCTGGGAAAGGTTTAGGGTTTATATTTTTGTTTGCTTCAAACCACTTATTGTGCTAAGTTTCTCTGAGTGGCTTCAAACCAAGTGGGTACTTCAAAGACCTCAGAGTAGACTTAGTGTAGAATCAAGATGAAAGAGTTCATTGTTACATTTGGCTGGCATTACAGATAAATGTTTTCTCCTCTGATTGGTACCTGCTTAAATGTTGATATTCTCTGAGTATATTATTTAAGTGGAGAATGGAAATAAGCAACAAGTAGAAAACAATAAACACTTCCATAAAAGACTTTCTTCATATAAATGGCACAGTTTTGATGGAGAAAAGAAGAAAGTAACAAAGATTCTGCATTGTATATTATTAACATATATATTTAAAATTAATCCTATACTCATGAATATTATAAGGCAAAATATTAATCAAATCTGTACATTTAACATCAAACCATTTTTAAACAAAACATGTATCTGGTTTATCTTTCTAGAGATTTAGCTTGCTATCTACAGAAAGAAAAAAAGATCAGAAGGAAATATTTCAGAATATTAACATTACATATTTCCAGGTGGTAAAATTATCAGTGAATTTTGTTTTTAGCTTTCTGCTATGTATTTGTCATCAAAACTTTCTATAATAGAGAAAAATGCTTTTATGCTTAGTGAAAAAAGAAAATATAAATCTGTAAGTGCACTGAAACAATCATGTGTTCATAACCAACGACAGAAATTAGTCAAGATATTACTGGTGACAGATGACTTTGCATTTTTAATTCACTATCATGGCACTGATTCTGAGCAAACTATTTAGTGACTCCATATATTGAGATTAGTCTTACATTTATTAACTTTCTAGCAAATTTCAGGCACTATCTTCACATTCATTATTTCATCTTGCTCTCTAAATAAATAGTGAGGGAGTCTTATTCCCATTTTATGGCTGAGGAAACTGAATTATCAAGATATAAGTTGAAGTTCATGAAGCTCACAACCCATAGAGAGTGAATTATGCTGTGAACACAGTTCTCCAGACTATGTGTCCAGTGCTTCTGCACTATACCATTTTGACCTGTTTATCAGGTTTTTTTTTTTTTATACAGCAGGTTCTTATTAGTTATCCATTTCATACATATTAGTGTATATATGTCAATCCCAATCTCCCAAATCATCCCACCACCAACCCCCCTGCCCCCGCCAGCCACTTTCCCCTCTTGGTGTCCATACGTTTGTTCTCTACATCCGTGTCTCTATTTCTGCCTTGCAAACTGGTTCATCTGTACTATTTTTCTAGATTCCACATATATGCATTAATATATAATATTTGTTTTTCTCTTTCTGACTTACTTCACTCTGTATGACAGTCTCTAGGTCCATGCATGTCTCTACAAATGACCCAACTTTGTTCCTTTTTATGGCTGAGTAATATTCCATTGTATATATGTACCACATCTTCTTTATCCATTCGTCTGTCGATGGGCATTTAGGTTGCTTCCATGTCCTGGCTATTGTAAACAGTGCTGCAATGAACATTGGGGGTGCCTGTGTCTTTTTGAATTATGTTTTTTTCTGGGTATATGCCCAGTAGTGGGATTGCTGGGTCATATGGTAATTCTATTTTTAGTTTTTTAAGGAAACTCCATACTGTTCTCCATAGTGGCTGTATCAATTTACATTCCCACCAACAGCGCAAGAGGGTTCCCTTTACTCCATACCCTCTCCAGCATTTATTCTTTGTAGATTTTCTGATGATGCCCATTCTAGCTGCTGAGAGGTGATACCTCATTGTAGTTTTGATTTGCATTTATCTAATAATTA